AAGAATCATTTTGGTTTCAATCCCCTACAAAAAGGACCATATGTAATGGCAAATGTAGGATGACAAACACAGCAGAGAAGAATCAAGTTACACATGATCTCAAAACTACCTCCCTTTCTAGGAAAAGACAAACCTCATTATCATAAAACTTCCTAGACAGTCACCATATTAGGCTTATGACTCACAAGTAAAATCAACCTGGAAACTATAATGAACATCGGTAAGCTAGCAATTATCTGTAGGCTTAAGTTTTATTGAAATGAGAAGTGCTGAAGTGAACTAATGGTATTGTATAAGACAAGAATGAATGCCTAGTCTCTGGATTCTAGTACACACTGTGGTTAAAAAATAATTTTCATTCAATGAAAAGTAAATATAGGTAAGTGTAATTTCAAGTTATTGTTCTACTGCCTTTTTGTTGTTGTTCTTTTGTAAAAGAGTTTCCTTCACTTATTCCTTTGCTTAAAGTAGCATCCTTTGTCCTTCATATTCTAGAACACTGGTAATTTTTTTGCCTCTAACTGACTTCTGTGACAAAATATACAAAGTCTATTATTTTCAACTCTGGAAGCCAGTTCTTTGGATCAAATCCCAAAAGGGCCAGAGAGTATTCTGTCCTACTAGTATCTACTTGAGCAAGGAATTAAAAAAAGAATTGCAACCACTTTTAGATAACAGGGCTCACAATGTCGGTCTTATTTCAGGAGCATCTGTGAATTACTCAGAAAATCTAGTGATTTTTTTTTTTAACATTTAGTTAGCAGTGAGTGGCAAGAGGTATATATGTTTGCTCCAGATGGTTAGTGTCTAAAAGGGCCAAGAGTAGACAAGTGCTTTACTCCATGTGCTGAAACTTTATTTTAGTAAATTCTACTCTAGTTTTACCATCTGGTGTAACACAATGTACACTTTTTCATTCATACAGCAGCATTTTCCATTTTAAAAAAACTTATAATCCTAAATATGTGATTGTTTTTATACTTCTAATAAAAGGGTGGTGAGACTTTAAACATTTTCAGAGGTCATAGTTAAGTTAGTATCCTGCTATTACATATTTTCTCATTTGATACACCTTGAGAATCCTTCCAAATCATTAAACAGAAAGTTGATCTCGTTTATTTTATAGCTATGTTAACAGTTGCATGTATGACTGTGTTATAATTTTTAACTGATTCCCCACTGATGGACATTTGGATAAGTTCCAATGGCTTAAAATTATACTCAGTATATGTCTTTATACTTTTGTACATTTCTGTTGGATAAAGTCTTTGGAATTATAACTAATGGGTCAAAAGGTAAAGCACACACTTGGTAATAGATATTGCAAAGCTAATCCCCTAAAGGAAAATACAAGTGCTTACAGACAGGAACAAGAGTGTTTCTCATCTTTGCCCGTCCGAGAAGAAATACAGAACATGTTTAGTTGATACTTGAATTTATATTTCCTTAATGAAAGGATCATTTGTTTTTCTTTCATGTGTGAACTACGGTACTTATGCATGTCTTCTGCTCTCTTGTTGTACTATGGATCTATTTCTATTATATTTGCCTAAAAAATGATGATAGGGCCAGGGATTTGGCTCAGTGGTTCTGCTGCCTGCCTTGCAAATGCAAAGGCCTGAGTTTGATCCCCAGTACCAAAAAGAAAAAAAAAATGATGAGATTAACTTTACTACACCTTATAAATGTTACCCTAAAATTTATTAAAAAATATGAAGGACAAATTACACTCTTTGGCAGTTAATTGTGCTTTGTAAAAAAATAATTTATGCTTATTCTAGGGTATTTGTATCGTATTTACCTTGAAATACCCTAAATTTAATCAGGGTTTCCAAACATAAAAAGATTCCTTGAAATCAAAATTTCAAACACTTAAAAACTATTTTTACTCAGTAAAATTTTTAAGGCTAACAGAATGTAAAAGAACAATAACAAAAAGGCTGCTTATGCAACAAAGCAAAAGTCTGTATGTGTAAATTCTGGTCATTTAATCAATTCCTCCTTTAAGAAATAATCAAATCTCTAAGGTAGGCAGGGAAATCAGCAGAAAATTCAAAAATATTCTGCCTGCCTGAGGGGTAGACTCAGTTCTGTTTCCACATAAAAACTCAATTACCTTCATAGAAGTGACCAGATTTAGTTGTTGAGGAAATTAGGTTATGCAGTGATATCTCACAAGCTTTGATGGGCTGGGGATTTAGCTCAAAGGGCTGGGGATTTAGCTCACTGGTTCCACCGCCTGCCTCACAAGCACAAGGTCCCAAGTTTGATCCCTGGTACCAAAAAATAAAAAAAATTAAAAAAAAAAAAAAAAAAAA